ATCACTTCGTTGTTGCCATTGATTCATTTCAGTATATCTGTAGTTGGCGCACCATCTCCTTGAGCTTCAATAGAATGGGTCGGCGAGAGGCCGCCCGGATGCTGCAGCCGCTCCTCCTCTTGGATGCCAGACAAGGATCCTACCGAGCAGATCGTCGACGTCCACAATGGCTGCACCGACGTCAGTCACCCACTCCTCCAACTCCGGCTCCTTCAACGCTCGAAGCTCGGCGTCCAAGATCGTGCCATTGATAGCCCAGAGGAGGTCTCGAATCATCTCCATGTGGTTTGGCATGCCTAGTAGTCGCTCCTTCGCCATCATCGCAGGCCCCGGCAGTACATGCAACAGTACGTGCTCCAGATCTGACGCCAACGCCATGGATTTGATGTCAGGGTGGCAGCTACGGAACTCTAGATTATCGATTGAGCTGTGGACTGGTATTGCTCAACCCACTGGGAATCTACCAAGCATTTATAACTCACAGTTGTTCCCTTTTCGAACAACACTTTGTTCTCGTCTCAAGCAACCATTAATGCTTGATGAAAGCTAATCCGGGTGGTGCCACCAACACGATGAGACTCTTGGAATCTACCTTCTCAGTCTGTGCGAGGAACGAATCAATCATCCGAGCAAGCTCCAAGTAATGCTTGATTCTTCTCCGTAGTTAGCTACCTTTGCGTGGCTCTCCTGCAATCTCACAATCTTTGTGTCGAGCGAGCTGTAAAGGAGCAAAAGACGTTGTCTTCGTCTCGAGCGAGCTGCAATGGAACCAAAGAACTTGTGGTCGCCTACGATTCTCTACCCCTCATTCATTCTTTCTCTTATTTCTTTGCTTCTTTTTGCCTGTGTCAAGACAGCGAGCGAATGGGTTACCTTTTCCTTGCCGTCTGCCTTTCTCCGATGCTCCGAGGGAGCACGAATGTGCTAACCTTCCTCTTCTTTACTAAGAATCTTACAACTTTTAATCAAAGCATTACAGGGGTTATTTTTCTAAACCATATACTTTAAAAGATAATATTGGGTCTCTATGACATTTAATCTTAATTCTTCTTATATTATTAATTTTCTTCAAAAAAAAAAATTACTCACGTGCAAAAATAACGAGGAAAAAAATATAATTTTATTTTTTTTATTTTTAAATACGTTATTTCTCTTTTTCTTTTTTCCATGCTCGACTTGTGCTTTCGATCACCGTCGCTCCTGCGCTACTCGATCGTCGCCTCTCTTGCATTGTTTGCCGTCGCTTCTCCTGTATCGCTCACCGTCGTCGCTCCTGCACCGCTCGACTGCCACCTCTCTTGATCACTTGTCACCATAGCAATGGACCTACTCGATCGCCACAGCTCTTGTTGGGGATGGAGGAAGGAAAAAATAGAATACTACGATACGAGTAAAAAGAATCCTTTCGATTCAAGAAAACTGATGTAGTATTTAAAAACAGGAGGATTGATAAGAACACTTACAAGATATCGAATACACACACTCTCTATATTCTTTACTTTATGAACTACGATCCTATTTATAGGACCTAGTGACAACCACCCTACAACTACTAGATCATGATTGAGGTGGTTATTGAAATCATCATGTAACCACTAGATAATGATGATAACTATCTAGATAGATAACTATGAATCAAATCTCAACACTCCCCCTTGATTCATAGTTGCATACACCGATTTGTGACATAAAATAAACATGCTTTTGAACCGGAAGTGATTTGGTCCATTCCATAATACTTCATTGTTATGACTCCACTTGCTTGAAGTACTCTTTCGATCATCTAAAGCTCCTGCACAACCAAATAATTTGCATTTAAATTTTGTTTTGAACACCCATTTTAACCCAATCGCTTTCTTTTCTTTCGGTAGATCCATTAGCTCATAAGTTTCATTCTTCTCAATTGACTTGATTTTCTCCTTCATTGCTTTTCTCCATTCCTCTTTTTTAACTACTTCCTCAAAAGTTGTTGGATCTGAAATAAACAAAGCAAATGTTGAGTTATAAATTTCTGTTAGTGATCTGAAATTTTTTGGAGGGGTTTCATCTGAGAAATCAGAATTTGAACTGCTATTAGGTGAGGTTAACGATGAACTTGTTGGAGCAGGATCTGTCACATGATTCTGCGGAGTGTCTAATTATGTTGGAATCTGCATTTTTGTTCCACCTTTATTGGTCTCCCAATTCTAACTTGCCCTTTCATCAAACATAATATTTCTATTAAGAATAACTTTGCCACTAACAGGGTTATATAATCGATATGCTTTCGATTGTAAAGAATAACTAATTAAAATGCATTATTCAGATTTTTCATCAAGCTTATGATGATTTTGTGAATTCATCAAAGCATAAGCAATACGACAAAAAATTCTTAGATGTCTAACACTTGGTTTCATACCATACTAAGCCTCAAAAGGAGTTCGATTCATAACAGCCTTTGTTGGTGAAATATTCAACAAATAAACTGCTGTTGCAACTGCTTCTGCCCAAAACTGATTTGAAAGATGTTTTCCTTTAAGCAAACTTCTTGCCATTTCAACGACAGTTGATTCTTACGCTCAGCTACACCATTTTGCTCCGGTGTATATGGTGCTGTCAATTCTCTGTGAATATTATTTTCTTCACAAAAAGAATTAAACTCATTAGATAAAAATTCACCACCTCTATCTGTCCGAAGTGTCTTTATATATTTACCATTTTGCCTTTCTACAAGTGTCTTAAACTTTCGAAAATTATCAAATGTTTCATGTTTCAATTTCAAAAAATATACCCAACTCATGCGACTATAATCATCCGTAAATAATAGAAAATATTAACTTCCACCAAATGATTTTGTATTCATAGGTCCACATAAGTCAGCATGAATTAATCACAATTAGATGCTCTCAATGCTTTTCCAATAGAAAATGGTTTTTTACTTTGTTTGCCATAAATACATCCTTCACATATATCAAGTGTATTAATCTTGGGCAATCCAAAAACCATTCCTTTTTTACTTAACAACCTTAAACCTTTAATGTTAAGGTGTCCATATCTTAAATGTCATAAACTAGACTCATTCTTTTGAGTTGTGATAAGCGCATGCCTTTCAATATTTGACACATTAAGTAGAAACATCTTGTTTTATGTCATGCAAACATTTACTATAATCAAACTAGATTTTTTATCTCTAATAGTGCATGAACCATCATCAAATATTACTGAATATCCATCATCTATCAATTGTCCAATACTCAACAAGTTATGTGATAAAGTAAGAACAAGAAAACATCATCATCGAGCGGGTCGAATGTGGCGATGGCTAATGGTGAATGAGACATGATGGTCGAGAGCGCACGAGCAGCGACGATCGAGCGTGGGAAGGACGAGAGGAGAAAGAACGTATTTAATAATTAAAAAATAAAATTATGTTTTTATCCTTCTCATTTGTTAATGATATAAGAAGAATTATGATTAAATATTTTTTTTTCATAAAAATTATAATATTATTTTTTTAAAAATATAAAGATCGAAATACTAATCATAGTTAACCATAGGATACTATCGAATTACTCCTTGGGACAACCAACATAAAACCTCAGTTACTTACTGTAGTACAATAAGGAGATTGTGAAGTATATATCTAATATTATAATATATATTTGAAGTATCAAAAAATAATAATAATAACATTTCTAAATCCAATATTGACACAAAGCGTGATATATCATGAAATAACAGCAGATATCATTAAGGTTATCGATGGAGCCTGACAATTCAACTCGAGTCCAACACCAAGTGTTTTTATCTGGCTCATTCAGAAGAAGATCGAGATGTGGTGATCGGAGAACGTATCTGATGGCCCATTCTCTTTCCTTCTCGATGGCTCGAGTTGGAAGCTTTATGTACGAAAGAGAACAAGTTCAAGGGGGAAAGAAACTGTTAATGAGTATTATACTTATTCGGATTTACAAAACATAATTACAATTTAAGGTGTATACCAATGAAGTCCATGAATATCTTGGAAATAAACTTGGTTTACAAATGAGAACAAATTTAAGGGAGAAGAATATTAGAGTATTAAACTTGTTTAAGATTTACAATAATTAATTCATTGCATGAAAAGAATTCAATTTGGATTTTACTTCCTTGAAAGAGTTACTTGGTACAAAAACTAATGTTCAAAATTAAAGCTTTCAAATATCTCTAATGTTCAAAAAAGAATCAATTTAAGGGTATTAGAATTTTTCAGATTCACAACAATGAGTTCATCGTATAGAAATAATCATATTAAATTAAAATAGGATAGATGGAAAAAGGAAAAAAAAACTTTACATTTAATCTCTCATGAGGTTAGATAGGATAGGGCCAATGGTTCGTACCACTATATAAGACGATGCTTTGCGCCTCTCAAGCCATCACATTTGAG